TACCATAATTTGAAATAACTAAAACCCATAATAATTATATATAATAAATTGTATAATAATAATTTATCAGGTGACCTGAAAATAATTCCACGAGTGCTCAAATAATTCTTCACGTGAATTTCTGATTGTTAAAAATTTCAAGTGAAATTTTCCAGTGAATAGGTTTTTCCTATTGACTCACTAGTCGAACAACTCGAATATATAATCATCACGCGACTCGTGAGTGACTCGAGTTATCCAGTGAGTATTTCTCCGAACATCTCCCCTCGCCCTCTCACCTTGTTAACCTCGGTCCCCCAGGAGGCGGCTTTGACAGACGCGTCTGGCGTGAAAACGCTCGCCAATTAACCCAACTGTGAATAATGCACCGGGCCACCACTAATTTAGTACGTGACTTATGTCGTACTTGCCAGCCAACAAGACATACTTGACTGGACGCAAAATTTCATGAGTTATACGAGCTCGTCTTTCACTCCTGCATCCTCAAACCCACCTTTGAGACTCTCAATAGTCATTCCCATTTGAATGTTACCTCCAGCCCGAGGCTCCATGTATCCACCGGACATCCGCCAGTGCTTCCCTTTGATGTACGTCGCCGACGGTAGGACATTAGATTTCGTGAGACCGACGAATGAAATATTGTGCACTCTCTATGCACCACGTCGAGGTTTCCTCCGTTTACTCAGTCATTTAAAGGACAAATAAATTAAAAAAAAAAAATGATGCGGTAAGAGGGGCAAAAAATTGTTAAAAACAAGACGAAAGTTAGCGAGAGAGACTGGAGGGTCAGGACAAAATCCTCATACAATATCCCGATGACGGCTGAGAAGGGGGTGAAGAGCTGCACGCGATGGTTTATTCAGGAACAATAGATAGTCCCTGGAGTTATATTCGAATGGAGACCTACGGCGGAGTGCAGTCGGCTGCATCAAACATCTCGCAATACCCCGAGACCACAAATCGGAAGGCCAAGAGACGATATATTTTATATCATTCCACGAGCGAACACACGACGCCGCATTCCTTTTATCATCGTGAACATTAATTATATCTTAGGGTTGCAAAGCGTGTACCTAACGACTGGTGAAAAAATTCCCAGGGGATGGGAATAAAAAAATAAAAGGAGAGCACCTCCGCGAGACCTAATTGAAGTAAATTAGCGCAGTGACGGTATCCTCTCTCCATCTCTCTGTCAAACACACACTGCACCTCATAACGCTACAACTGAAATTTCCCTCTGTATATTATACAAACTGTATACAACCCATGCCGGGGCGACGACAATCTATCACTTAGTCATACAAAGAAAGTTTGACGCTGCGTCAAAAAGCGGACTCGTTAATTTTTCATATTATTCACACCCCCCAACGTGAAACCCATACACTTTTCTCACCCGACACTAGTTTCCAACGCTTTTATGTGTGTAACCTCGTTCCTTCATTCCTTCATTCCTTCATTCCTTCATTCCTTCATTCCTTCATTCCTTTATTCCTTCACTCCTTCACTCCTTTACTCCTTCACTCCTTCATTCCTCCTCCCTCCGCCTCCATCAGACCATCTCCTCTCACTCTGGTCCAGCAAGTTGTCCTCGACGTTACATTAATTATTCAACCTCTGGGACACAAGAGAAGTCTCTTGCAGTGTCACCTCACCTCTACCTCGTCAACACTTCTATTCACAGTGTCCAGTAATGTCCAGTGCAAATGTATGAGGGTGATGAGCGAGGGGAAAAAAAAAACACCAGAGTGAAAATATAGTCAAGCCTTTTTATACCCCCGTGTCGCCTCACAACTGTGGACATAAATAATCAAGCCATAAAATCGTAAAAATTTCTTGGAGCATTAAGAAATTATTAACGATCGTAAAACTGAAAATATCCAGGCGAGAGTAATTTTCATGGCTATTCAGTGGTAGATGGCCATTGGTGATTTTGTAACTTCTGATACATTGGAAAAGCTGGGGACAGCCAGGGGTGAGAATAAAAAGAGCCAGGAAAATCACAAAGTTTGGCATTAAAATTGAATTAGCCAGCTCGCGTCTAACAGTGGATAAGAGCTTTTCTCGGTGGCGCTTGGATACCCGTTAATTAGTTGGCGACGTTAAAACTCAGGGTGAGTCCTCTCGGTGGGAAGTTATACACTGAGGTATCGAGAAGACCCCACCCCGACCAACCCCTCTTGTATTTACGAGGCCAACTTTCCTCTAAGCCTTTATTCACCACCTCTTCTCCCTCTCATTTCTTGCACAGGTATTTTCATCTCCACCCACCCACGTCATTCTTTACCAAGGATCTACACTTTTTAACTTTATCACAGCTGAAGTATGATTTTACGATTCACCCTGTTAAATATTCCATTGAGCCATAAACCAAATGCGTTACCATAAAATAATCCTGTTAACGTTGAAAATTGACGAGTGGAAGACCAATGGGGTGGCCATAATAAAGCATTCTGTACATTTGAGTTTCTTTGCCTCTCGCGGAGAGATCTTCATCGAATTGAATCGTTCTGTTACTTTCGGGGTTTCATATAATTTGATGGAAACATTTCGAAGGACGAGACAATCATGCGTTCAACGTCGGTTGTCCGCGGTGCAACTGATTGAAGCCAATGCGAATGAATCTGGGATTGAAAACCATCGAGAAATATCGAGGCTCGGGACTTTTTACGTGGACGACTCCACCGTACGTGAATTGAAAGGCTAAGGAATTTATGAAAGAAGGTAGGGAAGAGAGAGAGAATAATTCAGTTGTCCTCGTATACACTTCCGACTAGTCCACTCTCATCCGGTATTCTGGGGAGAGTCTGGGAAATAAACAGGAAGAGCAAATGGATTTTTCCTGATATTTTTCCTGATATCTTTGAAGTGGATTAGAAGGCTTCCATCTTTAATAATTATTACCCAATCACGGAGTGAATACAAAGAAAAATGAAATATGATTTGTCGAGGGCATGGGAAAATGATCGAGGGTTTGGGAAAATGATGGAGATGAAGGGTTCAGCTGAATACGTTAGGTCGACGTAAGGAGAGGTTTCTATCAGTGTGGCTCCACCCTTGAAGGTTTATACCGATTGAGAATGGAGGTTGATTCATGAAGACGGGAGGGACCTCCTTGGGCTGAGCGTCTCCGCAGTTCCAAGGTCGTGGCGGGTGGTCCTGAATCTTGATTTCTTGTTTTCACTCTGTGCTGTTGCTGGTGAATTGTGCTTGGCCAATGCAACCGGGAGAAGCAGCAAATGCTCTTCTCGGAGTCACGTTGAAAAGCCCAGAGAAGTAGCGATAGAATAGACCGAGTCCGGAGACAAGGGGAAGAGGCCCCCAGCCTCGGTCTCCAGCTCCTCCGATTGTCGATTTAAATGTTTACTAATAACCAGGCTTGTCCCACAACCACCCAGAAGTCAAGTTGCTTTGCATTTTTATAAGTACACGTGGATGAAAAGGAGAAGAAGCCACTGGGACTCATTTCCAAGAATCGACATTTCATATTCATCCCTGCCTCATCGCATTGGAGAATCTCCGCTACCTCCGTCTCTCCTCGTGACCGCTGTATTCGGTGAGGACTCGATGTGAATTTATGGATGGGACTGGGAGATCAATAAGTACATCATAATTTATCTTTCATAATGATTCATTTATTGCGAAATACGCAGGTGATTCTCTTTTTCGTTGAGTGATTTTTTTTTCAATAGTTCTCACCAATGTGGCAAAATCAGGAGAGAATTGTTTTTTTTTTCTCGATAAAACACCGGCGTTCAGGAATTTTGGACACGAATGACTAAGAGGTTTTGATGGTGATCGTGCTGACTGTCGACGTGATATGTGCGACGCGGCCATTTCTTTTTTTTTTTATTATTCATCATCAACTCTGTTGTAACGTAAAATCGAAAAAGAGTACGATGCAACAAGACAGGCAACAGAGTTGCAATTTGAATGGATGCGCTTTTGAAGCCATAAAATTGTTGATAAAATTTTCCTTTTTGTTTTACATGAGTTTTCTCGCCACTTGTGCCAGCCTCGGATCAACGATCAATACCCTTGAGACCGCGTCGACCTGTGAGATTATTTTTTACTCATTTTTTTTTCATTCATTTTTATTAAACATTGCAATAACAATAATATAAGAATCGTCGGTCAGTCCTCGTCACAAATCATCATCAATTAGCACGAATTACGATTCTGATTATATAATAATAATAATGCTGTGTTTTTTTTCTACTCTACATACAATACATACACTTTTTCTTGCTTTTTTTTTTCCTTTTTTTCGTTTGTGGCTGGGCGTTGGACCAGCCCCCTGACTACTATTTACAAACGCATAAATAATAATATTAATCATCACTATATGTATATTTATAGGTTCATATACATAATATCGAATTCATCGCTAGGGCATGCGGTTTATTCACGCGGTGATAAATTTTTCGATTGAAATTCTAAGACAGCGCTGCAAAATGAGCGAAAAGTGACAGCCACTGAAAAATTCAGGATCGAAATGGCAGAGATAAGACCAATTTAGGATTTTTCAATTAAGGATTTATCGGGGAAACTATCGATTTAAGGTGCAAACATTCAAGTGTATTTTCTAGCTCATTAAATTTCCGGTGAAATAAATCTTTTGATATTTCCTCATTACATCGGGTGATTTTAAGACAATCAATACTTTGGGAAATTGGAAATTTTGACTCACCTCACTGCACCGCTTTGCCACCGAATTCTAATGCTGGCATGTCAATTTTTTCCTCATTTACACGAGATTTTTATAGAAAAAGGGGAAAAGAAATAGTGCCAGCATTGAAATTTTTCCGATCACTTTGCGCTCCATTTCAGGTGCCATCCTAGACTTGTTCTCAAAAATTTCTCTCCGCGAATTCCCCTTTGTTTAATAATTTCGGCTACAATGAGTTTTGGTTAAGGAATCCATTTTCTCACGTACTCAAACGAGAATCCAGTGATAAGAGAGAAAGGGGGATAAAATTGTGGGGGGGGGGGGGGGGGGGCAGTATCTTGCATTCCTTCTCATTAAAACTTGAAACTGTACACTAATTTACAAGATATATTTGGAGTCTGTTTATTGTCAGCCACAAAAACATTTGTGCCGTGTGCCGTTGTTAATATCCCGAGCACTCTTGAAGAATGCTTTAGGTTAAATTTACAGACACGACCTAACGGCTATCACGAAATCACACACGACCAGGAGATTTGAGCTCCGACGGTGGATGACTGCCACCACTTGGATGTGGTGACTGTTGGTCCGATCTGCCAGACGACGCTGTCGACGATGATGAAGGTGATACACCGGATGAGGCAGTCAATATAACAGGTGGAGCTGAATTAGCATTACCATTTATCGAGAACGGTTTGACATTGCTCGTTGCAGACGATGCCGGTGGTGATGTTGTGGTAAGAATTCCAGGAACACTTGTGGGTGGCATTACACCCCCCAATCCCCCGAGTGTCCTGGAGTAGCTCTCCAGCAGTGCCATATCACCAGATCCAAGGTGAGGGGTACTGTAGAAATTTCTATAAAAATCCGGATGGGGCCTGACGAATTGGGCACCCGAATGCATTGCCGGATGCAGTGGATGATGAGGAGGTAATCTACTCGCGAGAGGACTGACAATTTTACCACCACCATTACCACCCCCATAGGGTGAACCCAGAGCCATAGCTGGTGTACTTGCCTGATCACCGTCTTTGCTCGCCATATCAGCTAACGACCAGATTCGTGGTTTCGTTGGGCCACTTCCCGTGGATGATGCACTAGTTGATGGTGGCAAATGACTCGTACCACTGCCAACACCACCGGGTGATGTGCTCTCAGGTGATGGATGACGAAGCAGTCTACCGTGGGCTGCCAAATAAGCTGGATGCTGGAGTTGAAGTGGATGCCTTGGCTCACGCTGATCAAAGAGACACTCAGGACTGTCTGGACCGCTGTCAGCACGCGACTCACTCCACTCGCTCTCAGTTCTACCTTGCAAACCACCGGATGCACCACCTGAACCGTGTAACAGGTCCAGACGATGCGCTGGCCTCTCACCATCCTCACTCGAACCCGTTCCCGAGTCCTTCGAGTCTGCAAATGATAACACCATTTACGTTTTATATTATCTCTGATGAAAATTAATTTTCATTGATTATACTCATCCTTACCTAGTCGATCTTTCTCGTCGACGCTCTTTCGCCCGCTATCATCGTCTTCGTTGTTGTTGTCCTCGTCCTCCACCCTGTTTCTCGGCTCCCATGTCATCTTGTTCTCCTTCTTGAGTCTTCTTCTCGCATTAGCAAACCACGTTGATACCTGGGTGAGTGTCATTTTTGTTATTATTGCCAGCATTATCTTCTCGCCTTTCGTTGGATATGGATTCTTCTTGTGCTCGTTAAGCCACGCTTTCAGCGTACTCGTCGTTTCTCTCGTTGCATTCTTTCGTCTAGCTCCATTCAAATCCATCCCATAACTGTAACACAAAAATTAATTCCAACCTCACGATAACGTTACTTTGAGACCCTCCTAATTGGTAAGCAATTCTAGGAGAAGGGTGATGAATTTAAGTGAAAGGTAACAAAGGTAACAAATCGGTATCTTGTGAAAATGATGAATTTGCTGGGAGAGAATTTTTCAAATTTTTAACCACTTCCTGGTGATACGGAATAGTAAATCCGTCGGGAAACTTATCCAATCGTGGCCTCGTTACGCCCATAGCGTAAAAAGTCCAACGAGGATCGAAGAGAGTAACTGCTGTGTGCTTTTCCTCTCTAACCCAAACCCCAAGTTACTTCTACAAAGAGAAGAACAGAGGGACCGAGTAAAGCGGTGGATAGTACTTTCATCCCAACGCAGATCTCTATCTAACGGTTTAAGCTCTTTCCTCTCTCACTCCCACTCGAGGATGAGCCACTCGTGTGCGGCTTTCGGTAGAGAGGATAGGGTACGTCCAAGGAGAAGAGCCCCGTACCAAAACCCTCGAGGAACCCATTACTAAAAGACTAACCCTTATCAAAGATTAAACTTCGGTATAACTGCTGAATCGACGGGATCGAAATTAAATTTTCCAACTCGACTTTGTCTCCATCTCCCAATCCTCTCAATCCTCTATTTCTTAAATTCTCTTTAAATCGCATTTATTATTATTATTCCAAGATATTATCGCGAGTTGATGCCTCGACACTGTCAGGATGCTGTCATTATTGAGCCAGAGACACATGAGACAGAGGCATTTTGTGAGGGTCCGTTGTGACGTACATTGTCACAGGGTGCGAGAGGTGTTGGCGGATATGGCAACATTTCACGGTGAAAGAGAGATGGCAAATTAATAAAACTGTCAGTTTATCCCCCTCTCGACCCGAGAGACACACCAGGGACTGTGGACCCGTGGGTGGAGGGATGTATAGCAGATATGTACCGAGAAAGAGAAAAAAAATCCATATAGCTTGAATTCACTTCCATCCCCCCATGCATGTCGCATTCAGGCATTCAGGCATTCAGGCAGTCAGGCATTCAGTTGAAACGATGCGCTAAACATTTCAATTTGGCATCAGAGGACGCTTTCATCGTAATATATATCTCCCTTTATCTCTTCCAAACTGTCGTATATACATTGTATATGCGGAAGGTTTCCAGAGTTTCAAGCGAGAAAGATGAGCGGACAGGCGTGATGGGTGATACGAGACAACGAGAGTAAGTGAAGAGACACCAGTCGGGAAAATACCGTTGAGGGGGTGGGCACTGAACAGGGAGAGAGGGGAGGTGGGAGAAAATGGAGAAAGTGCTGGAGCAGAAGAAGCGGCAGAAAGAGACAAACTGGAGCTTAATCCCCCGGTATGTTTGCCAGCGGCAAATGGCGTTCTGCAGTTATTTTAAAATTCAGCCCCTGGATGAGGGATAGGTGAGAGAGAGAGAGAGAGAGAGAGAGAGAGAGAGAGAGAGAGAGAGAGAGAGAGAGTATCTGTGAGAAAATGGCGAGGGGGTGGATTAAAAAATCAGAGTGGAAGCTTGTTTCTCATGATAACAGCCCAGTCCGTGTGGCGCTTGGGCTTTTTAGTCGCGACGAATAGAGGGTGATTGCGAGGGGGGGGGGGGGGGGGTTACTGAGGGGGTACTGAGGGGGTTGGATGTGAAGAGGGCCCAGTGAATTTTCCTCATCGCAACGACGATATCCGACGGTGGCCAAATACACCCGGGAAAAAGGCAAATTCTCGCGTTTTCACCTCTCCGCGGATTCCCGTACTGCTGGATATATTCGAGAGTTGAGTCCACATGGCTTATATATACGTGTATATAGAGGGGTTTTGACTGTCGCGCAACCCTTTTCTCTCATGCGCGAACCGATTGCATCAACTGCTTGTTTCCATGGCGATTGCTAATCGGGTTGTGCTTTGGAGGCAACTCCCTCCGCACAACCCCTTCTGTCCACCCTCTTTTCACACCGGAGTAACCCACCCTCCACGGTTATTCTGTATTGTACCGTGTGAATGACCCACGTCTCTATTCATTTACTTCCTGTTTTACTTATTTGCTGAGTGAGAAAGCCTCTGGACTCGGTGTGCTTTTTTTTTTTTCTTCTTGTATGCAGATATGTTTGGACACGGGGCAGGTGTGCGTGTGATTCTTTTTGGAAACTCCGCCCATTTCTCTAACCAGCTGTAAGAGGGGTAACTTAATGCGAGGGGTGATACATCCAAATCGACCCACCTCCATCGACAAAAAGCACATCCCCACTCGGGATTTAGACACGCAAAGGTGCGTAGCCATTTCTACATCAAACTGCACGCCGCCATGATCAAACATGTGTGGATAACCCTGTGAATAATGTTCACGCAATCCCCAGGTCATTTGCTCTGGGTTAATGAAATGTTGAATTTTATAGGTCCTCTAATATTGGTGATTAATCAGCGAGAGAATTTTTCTGTCGCCATCTCCCGATGTCGCCATCTTTACACTCATCATCATGCACTCCAGTAATTTAATCTACCGTGAAGCCACGCCAACCCGGATCTTCTCCAGGTGTACTCCTCTCTCTCGCTCACCTCACCTTTCATTTTTTATATTTTTATTTATTTAATCAAGCTCAAACTCGCTATTCCACCAACACCTCATTATAAATTAATGACGAATGACGGAGGGATGCTGGGAGCAAGGTTAACACGATAGGATACCTCTCGCGTTAATACAGATACCTCATAAATCAACCTCGATATGCTGGCCAGTTTGACATGGATATAAACATTTGGATTCTCCAGTGAGCACTGCTATGCACTTGCTATCTTGTCATTAGAGACGAGTTTAATGGCTGCAGGATCATCATTCTGGCTTTACATAATTCTCGAATCAACGCTGATAAATATACTACCGTTTCTCCACTCGCTATCAACGAAAATCAATTAAAGAACTTTTTTATCGTTCCTGTCATTTTTTATTAACGATATTCATGTTTATTTTTTTTTATTTTGGAGTTGGGATCTTCTCAAGGCCCCAATCACCATTTTTCTCTGAATTTATCCTTTACTTTTCATTTTTGGGAAAATTAACTCGAATTAATTTGTTTCATTTCAAATCAAATTTAATGCAGAGGTACTGGAGACATATCCGGTGACAATTTTTTTGTAAAAATCTACAGCAGGCAAAGCACTTTAATTATTTCGAATTGATTTCTCCGAAATTCTGTTATTACATAATAAATTATTGCAACGAGACATTCTGCAGTTCCAGGAACGAGAACCAATAACTCTGTTTTATTTTCTGAAGTCGAGCTCCTGTCGTGATAATCGTGTAATTTGATATGAAAACCTGAAAATTTGATGACATCTTAAACTTCCAGGTGTCACTCTTCATCGAGTCTCCATACCCCACCAGACTAAATAAATCTCATTGGCAGTAACGAAATAACACATAATTAACAGTGAAATCCCGTCAATCCACTAGCAATTACACCGAAAAAAGATAATCAACTGGCGACTCTATCTTTATATACGATTTTTTCGAATAATTTTGAGATCTCAACATGTGAAACTAACGAGGACAGGAGGGCATTTGTGAGAATGTCAAGGGATTGGATGGATGCAGACGTTCCTCGCCTCCCGGATGATGTACGGGCATTTAATGACCCGGTCACGGTATGGGTGGGTGATGGTTTTTGCTTTGGTTGAAAGCATTGGACACCCAGGGTATCCCCTAGGCTCAACGGAGACAACTCCAGTCTCTGGGATGCAGATGACAGGCCTGCCAAACGCGTATCATTAGTCGCCTAATGACCCCCACGGATATGAGAAATACAACTCAACAGCACCAGGCAAATCACCAACGAAATATCATTCATCTCGTTAGCCCCGATGAATTTAATTGATATTCAACTGGCGTTGAGATGTCGCGTTGTGCGTACAAGTACATGGTAACCTCATATCGAAACAATGTGCACGTGCTCCCCTTCCTCTTGTCGATTTGCTTGATCAGTTTTGTCCACTCGTATTTTCTTATTGTCTACCCTATATGTCCCCGGAAGCAGGGCCAATCCGGCGGAAAGACAATGCCGTTGACCCGCCACGATCCCAACGACCTCGCGTCCCGTACACATGCCAACGTTGCATTATTGCTTCCATTTCTTTTCAATTCCACTTCTCCATGCTTCGTTTGTTGTTTTTTTTTTACCGTATTCTATTGTCCACTTGATCAATAAATTTGTTCAACATGTATCGGGGAAATTATCACCAATTTATGGAACTACTTCGGACGCACGCGAAATTCTTTATGCGATGGCCGAATATTACGCTTCAATTTCAAGTACAAGATTTTTAAGTGATGATATTACTGTGGGATTCTTCATTGCTACTTTTTTTTTATTTTTTTGTTAGTCTCGTTATCAATTATCAATTATAGTGAAAAATCTGGAAAGGATTCAATAATTTTCCGGAATTTTCAATTCGAAAATCCGGAATTTCAATGGAAAATCAATCATTATTTCATAGGGAAAAATTAAATTGCCTGAATTTGAGAAAATATGGACTCTCGACCGTCTATAGTAATTTTATTACAATTAAATAAAGTCGTGTAGTGAATAGAATTTTTAATTGAATTCTTCTCAGAAATAAATTTGCCGAGCGCGAATCAATTTAATTGACAGACATTTTTTCTGGCTCTTTTTCTTTTATCCCCAGTGAAAGGTATTTTTTAACGAAAAAAAGAGAAGTTGGATGAAAAAGAGAAAAGTCTGAAACATGAGGGAATACATTATGATAATTTTAGCTTGGAACCAGTGCACGTAATCGTTAACGCCGTGTTCTCAATTTGCAAAATTTACTTTAGTGCAGAACAATGGGCAACATTTTTCCCCCAATTTTTTTTTTCCATCCGTTTTTTCAGCTCTTTACTCTTGTAAATTTATTTTTACGAGTCAGTAACTTATTTGAGTTCCCATGAAATGAGTGCATAACAATGATATCACTGATTAGCAATGATTATTTTACTCGGTTACACGTGATGAGCGATAAACATTCATGAAGTTTAATTTTTCGAGCTCTCAACGAGTTCCATCGTTATCAGGAAAATAAATTTAGTTAATTCGTACGTGAACCATTTATCGTCCATAAAATTTAGTATTCTTGTTTGCGTAATTTTATAAGAATTACAAACAGTTCAGTAGCTCCACCAAAATATATCCATCGACGGCGATGCTGTTGAGGAAATAATTAATTTCCACATCGAATTACAATTGAGAGAAGGAAAAAAAAATATAATTAACATCCATATGAATATTTTCCTTATCAAGAATAATTAAATTACTACCGATTGTATTTTTTTTTTTATTCCGATGCGTGTGGAACGAGAATTCGAACCGAAAAATTGTTAACAGCGGAGAAAAAAAAATCGAGGGAATAAAATATTTCCGGGTCCCCGATGGTCGTCCGTTGGATCACGTATTGTTCCGAAGTAGTTGGTAGTCACGTTCCCAGTATAAGTAATATTGGCACATGCTAGCCCCCCGAGTAAGGTAATGCGCGCGTGGGTTGAACATCATCAAGTGGACTTGTAGCGACAACACCTTGATGGAAAATCCACCAGGCTGGATACCACCAGTCTGAAGAATGAGAGAGAGAGAGAGAGAGAAATGCTGAGCAGAAATGTGACGCACTTCCGGTGTTGACTGCTTCGTATGCAAGGAAACGATCGGGTACTACAGCTTGCTTAGCATCCACTCGGTCTAGTCGACTGTCTTCCCAATCCTTTCAATACCACCCCAGTCCCACCCTCGATATCACGTCAAACCCCCAAAAAAATCATCCCTCTCGAGCTCCAAAAACTCTTTCAAAATCATTACCTAATTAACGCAGCGCAAATTCCGTCTATCACAACATCCGTCATCTCACCACCAAATTGATTTATCACAATCACGACCTCTCTCAAGTACTTTATCCTCCTCATAACACGCATTCAGATATAATTATTGCGAGAGACAGCGCTGGATAGATCGAAAAAAAATGTCAGCATCGTGACATTCCCGGGTCAAGTGACGACTAATTTATTACAATGTTTATGTGTTACTCGTCAATTCTTATCGCGCGATATCCCTCATTCCGCGGACCAATAGTATTCATCGAATATCGAATAACGTCGAGCACAGAAAGAGTTGAATCTTTGTTTCAAGGAGTAATTATCCTTTTTCCCTCCAACCAACGAATCCACAATTTCAAAGAGATCACCAATAAATTACTAGATTTTATAGAAAGTGAAGTCACTTGTGCCTAGAATTCATTATTTCTGATTGATGATGAAATTGTTGATCATCGCCTGATTTTTCCTTCGAAATTCATATTGTTTTTCACTTTAAAATCGTGTGGACTTTTGGGTTTTCGCAGTGGATCAAAAGTATTGATAACCACGAGTACAAGAGAAAGGAGAATAAAACGACGGATGATTTAGACCTTTGCCCCCTGACGCGGCAGATACGCGGGAAGACATTTTCGATAAGATTCCGAGTGGTAGTCGTTTGTCGATTCGTTGTAAGACTTCTAGGAAGTGACAAGTTGGAATCAAAGACTCGTAGCTCTTATGGTTGCCGTGTCGTATGACAGACGACAACTTTGTTGCTTTGATTAGTCTACACCATTAATATACAAACGATAACGAGATAAATCATGTAATTGAATCGGGTACTCACCCATTGAAGGGATAACTGGCGAAGGCTGGGTCGTAGGCATGATAAACAGAGGGATATGGCCATGCTGCACCGGCACCGAGGTTCTCCTTCAGATCGAGACCCGCGCCCTAAAATCCCAAAAAAAAAATACATTAGAAGATGATTTTCGTCACTCTTCCGTCATAACTCTGTCAACCGCCCTATCGATGGATAAATTTATCTCGTGGGAACGTCGTGTTACCCTATGTGGTCTTCAACCCGATGAGCGATGAGGGACAAATTCTCTTCAGCTTCCCCCCTGAATGCCTCTTTGTTTTCTTATTTCACCCCTGAAAGGATTGCCGTCTTGCGAGCTGGTTAAATGTATGAAGCATGTCGGATTGTCGTGAGGATCTAGAGTAAATAAGTGTTTACACGTTGCTATTTATCCCCGTGAAAAGCACCACCTGGACTGAAAGTTTAGTAACCCAGACTGATCGATCATCGACACGTCATCAGAGTGCATTATCCCTTCAACGTTTTATCGAGATATTTAACGCGGAAATGAACAATCGTTGAAATTTCCACATGAAATATTTGCAGACGAGGGGATAAATGACCGAGACCCGTGTGTGACCTATTCTGATTGATAAAAATCCGGGAGAAGAGACAGGAAAACCGAACGACATGAGCCTCGGTAATTCGGTAAGCGATAATTAACCAGTGTTATGTATAATGCCTTCTGTTGAGTTACGCTGAAAACCTCTGAACCAGGGAATGACCGGTCTCCATTGTCTTTCAAAAGTCATTAGGCCTGAATCTTTAATCGATTAGTATAAACAAGTCCCCATCGTCGTGCATGTGGTTGATTCGAATGAATTTCAAATGAACTCCACCGAAATGGAACGCAAAGAGAAAAAAAAAAGAAGAACAAGTCCGCTAATTAAAATCCTGTGAATTATCTCTTGTTACAAAATTCGATGACATGTATTATTGAATAACAGGGTTAAATTGCAATGTGTCACGTGTACAATAGACGATGTGAGTGAGTGTCTCAACGTCTATCGATTATCGAAGCACTATTGCACATCTGTTTTTCCCGGTGTAACCCTCATGAGAACCCTGTAAAACCGGGTACTTACTGGAGATGTGCAAAAATTACGTGACTTGTGACATCATAAAAATAAACAACGTGAAAAGAGAGCGGTATGGAAAATTAAGCAGTAAAAGTATCATCAATGTTTTAATGCTGAATTGAATTACAGCGATGTGACACCGCTCGAGATTTCACCATGTCTTTTAATTTCAATGACACTTTTTAGTGACACAAATTGGCAATTTCCGAGTGTTGGATTAATGAAAAAAAAAAAATGAAAGTTATTTGGTTGCATGAAAGTACTCACCGTGGGCGTATAAAAAGGCGACTGTTCAGCGCCAAATGTTGGAAGATATGCCATTCCCTCGGCTGCTGCTGCCGCCGCTGCATAAGGTGCACTGTACATTGATAATGCAGCAGGTGCAATACCACCGAGACGCTGATAACTGCCGAGCAATGTCTGCTCATACTGACACGAGCACACTGTTTGACCAGTTATTGGATCATTGAACAGTGGTCTACCAGTATCACAGCATCTTGTCCCGGGTGCTGGCCCACCGCTTGCACTGGATGGTGGTGGATGTGGCTGGGATGGACTCACCGAGCTCGTTGGACTTCCCGGTGGCCTAACAACTGCACTAGTTACAGCCATTCTTGTACTTGGTATTGGCGTTGTCAAGGAATGATTACCACTTGCTGCTGCCACCGCTGCTATGCTCAGTATTGGCACAGTTGGTGACGGTGAGGATGAAACGAGAGCGGCGCTTACTGTCACAGGACACTGAAACAACAAGTTTAAATAATACGGTGAAAAATTCAATTGTAATTGATGCTATATTTGAATTTTAAATCACCCATCAGATGCATTTCAGCAATTAAAGACTCCTAAACAAAAGAATGAATCGACTCTGGAGATTATTCCATGGAGATAAAGGATGTGGTGGAGGTGGGAGCGAGATATCGAGATTGGAATCTCATCGGTGAAACGCCAAAAAGGCCAGCTGGCTACTACTTCGATATTGAAAGACATTCAACCGCTGACGGAATACTATCATCCAACCTCCTCTATCTTCCCAGGTAAATAAAAGTGATGCAAAGGGTCCTCATTAATTCCATATCAAACACCACGGCTAAATAGATTAGTGGCTCGAGTGCCCTCCCCTTTTTTGGGACCTAAACAAACGCGCCCATAGGTGTCTGCCCTTTCATTATTCCCTTTCCTCCCCCTTTTTTTTTCACCCCATTGAAAAACTAGCCGCTTTGTTTTCCTCCTCTCCCCATCCCTCAATACCTTCAGTTTACCGTATTATATGCGTACCAACGATTCAAACATATTGTCATCCCCTCACGTTTCATTGTCAACCTCACCATTTCAATACTGTTTTCGCCGCAATTCGAGTCACGTTAATGCGCGTGTCGTTCACTGAAAAATTTTCAAGGGCCAACTGTCAGGCCACCCCAACACTGCAACTATTATCATATTATACTCAATGCCACAATACGTGGGTAAATGCCTAGATAAACGTGTAAACTTGCGCACTAGCATAACTGCTGTATCACGCCCGTTGAGTTAAATTTCCGTCTAAATTCGATGCTGTGGTGGGGTGAGTGGGGGCAAAGGGGTGGCACTAAATTCTTCGCCTATTCTTGTCTATGTATGTCGCCATCACTCATACACGTGTAAAACCTCAACCGTACTAGGATTGGTATATAGTTGCTAACTATCGTGATGCAGCCTTGCGCATGCTCCCATAAGACAACCCGTCCACACGAACGGCCACGGGGCTTGTATGATTATCGTTGGCGCCTTGTTGCGTGGTTTAACCCAACACCCAATGTATTTGTCCATTCTCTGGCACCCGATACATTGTCACAACCAAATATTCTCACTAAACACCGGTATTCGTTTTTCTTGTACCATTTTACCCGATCAACCCCCTATCATCCCCTTTTCATCCGATTTTCTCCCGATTTTCTACCGATTTTCTACCGATTTTTCCCGCTGATTGGGGTGCCTGACGATTTCGCCATTTTCCCGGAGAAAATTTGGGAAAAATATCAATTCAATCGCCGAAGCAAAGTCCCACGGTTGGTCCGAAAAAAAAAAAATAAATAAATATTCAAAAAAATATAGGAAAATAATTTCGGTCAGTGAGGGATTCGGGTTGAGTTTTTTCGACGATTTCTGCGTGAATAGCTTTCATCGAGGGTTAAACGACGAAGCGTGTTGGGAATGACCCGTAGGCCATAATTCAACGGGGGCCCCCAACAAGAGGAGGACAGGCAGCCCTGGTCGGGGCCCTCTGAGTTACACCTCGCGATCCCATCGTGGCTCTCGTCGTCGTTAGGTTTTTAAACGGCCACGGCACTCTGTTCCACCACCCCTCCCCCTCATCCCTCCTCATCCACTTGGTTCCTCCACAGAGAACAACATCTCTCACTTCTTGGTCTTGTATTCCCCCTTTGCCAATGTTGTTCGTCTCTCACCTCTTCTCCCGTATGGCAAAAGATCCAACGAATGTATATATATAGTATTGAAGAAGCTGGGGAGAGGCGAGAGAAAAAGCGGACAGTTCACGCTGCCGTCTACAAGATACCAGGTACAGATGGTAGCCGCCGATTGAACGTGCGCCGTGATCGTTATTTCTCCGAGACTTCTCAACACAAATGCAACGGGTGGTACCCACCACTTCAGGTGTAAACTTGTGTGAGTATCATTTGGAATTGGTGAGGATGAGGGGGCAGCGGGGGGGGGAGGATAAGGGCAGATGAAGGGGAATAATTTAATGCGAAAACTGGGAAATTAAAAAGCAGTCATACATCTGTGTCGATGAGGAGATTCGAGTGATTGAGATTGGACCCTGAGGAATGATAATAATATTCTAACGAGGTACTGCGTGCCTCAGATATATCAATCGCATTTAGTCCACCGCATTTGCTTATTTGTTTCAGCACGCTACAACAGCTAATTGCTGATTCTCGTATAATGCATGTACCGTGGGGATAACTGGATACCCATAACCCATCTTATGAAGCTGGAGAATGTCGTCGACTGGTAGAGGCAGCTGCACCAAGAATTGGCCAATATATGAGAGAGGTAATACCGGTGTTGATTATGTCCTGGCATTCGTCAGCAAATAAAAACACTCGGTTAGTATTAAATTAAATCATTTTGTTATACGGCTAGTACTTTGGAAGTGATAGGCTCGTGTCTTATCACTTGGTTTCATCTCTGATGGCCAATCTTGGGAGCTTTTATCGTGGCGAATAAAGCCTCTTCAACCGTGAGGCAGAAGTGAAAATAATCGTAAGACACGAGCAAGGTCGGCCAGTTGGTGACTTTCTTGGGAAAAAGAGGACGTTCTGTGGGGTGATGAGTGTGGGGGGGGGGGCAAAGGGGGGAAAACGATCTTGCGAGTAACTTGCGGGACCAGTATACTTATCCAAAAGGAGGGGGGGGGGGGGGGACAAGAGATACCACGATTGCTCCGTGTTGTTTATAAGTGCGTTTTACACTGTGATTCGCACTCTCAACTTCGCATGCCTTTTTTTTTCCCCTCATTTTATTCTTTTATCGAGAATTTAAAAAAAAAAAATCCTTTAATGCCCAGTGACTCTAACGGAAAGACCAAGTACTCGCGTCGATTTTATATAATTTCAGGTTGAATATCTTTGGAGGGGGGCAGGGAGGCAGGGAGGGCAGGGGGGAATTTTATCCTGTACACACAGATGCGCCCGTGTTTACAGTAAGAGCATTTGTCACGCGTGTCCTGCAACATTTAAAAGATGAAACAGAGGATTCGTATTGTGGGGATTTTTCAGACACCGGGTCGCTCACCCATATTTCGTTGATCGGTTTTTCTCGTTTCCTTTATGTGTGCCGATGATGCCCTCTTTGCAACGAGGCCCAGCCGTACAAATATTGACTCCTGACCAGATTGATGGACCGTCATGTGTACTTAGGCTTTGAGCGGTACTTACTTATGTTCCCACACGCATCACGCGCACTCTCGTTCCGCTCTTACGCCCCTGTCATAGGTCTGATATTTTTGGTTTCTCTATCGTTTATGGGTTTTCCGAGTTTGCCCTTTACCTTTGACTCGTTTCACCTCCGTCTTTTGGTGATAAACACGGCAGGATGGTTAAATATTTATTCACCCGAGGAAATCCCCAAAATCGTTTCGCATTGCATACCAGAAAATAAATAACGGGAAACTAGGATTTATCTCTTGATACTGTGAGTAATGGAGCGGTAAATAAATAATTAATTGAATGGTCATTTTGGAATTTTGAATGTATTTTTTATTTATTTATTTATTTATTTTTTTTTCGCTGAGACATTAAATCGGCAATCGTTTGGAAAATCGAGGCGCTGATGTAGGTTAGTTAATATAGCGATAATAAGAGAAATGAAAATAGCGATCGTATCTCAATGAACGTTTGAATGAACTAAACCGACGATATATTATACACTGGTAACGCAACGGTTGTTATATCCACCTTGTGTGTTATGTGCCCCGTCATCCGACTCCGTCGTTTCCTCGTAACTCCTACACCAATGATACAACACCGAGAGAAATTACAACAAAGCAAACGTTAACGACAGTCAGTTTGTAACGAAGATAGACGTACTTATCGAGAGCGCGACACAGGTCCTTACATCCGGCGTTTGTTCAAGGCGCCTTATACGAATGAAAAACGTACATCATGGGAGAAGGAGTGAATTTCAATTCTAAGAAGCGAAATCAGTGACGCGAATCCCCAAGAATTCCGTTCCTCAATCTTTTTCAATTTTTTTTTTTTCGCCCCCTTGCATCCTCTCTCAAGCTTAAGTGGCAGAAACAATTTCGCGTTTCTTAATGACGAACCCCGGGGGTGACGGAGACCTGACGGGGGGGGACAACGAAATACGACGACCGGAAGCTGCCCAGGGAATCTGTTGGCTTGCGTTGCGTTGACAGATTGAGAGTTTGCGATGAAATTTTTTGTTGAAACAAAAGGAAATGGAAAAAAACCGAAATAAGCTGGAAAAGGAGAATTACGAGTGAGAGGTTTGAGGATTGCAACGAGGGCGGATCTGAGTCAGCGTTGCACATCTAGTCATGGGTAAGGGGAAAGAGGTACACCGAAAACGATTCCCGTGCAATTCCAACGTGACTGTCGAGTCAGCGTATAACTAGAGAGTTAAACTGGGTGCATGAGATACGTATCAGTGAGAACGTATATGCGAAGAGGGGGTGCTAACACAGCAATAATATGCCATTCATAATTTTTTTTTTTTTATCTTTTTCCTTCCACCTCAGCCCCGTCAATGAGTCTCTCGTGGCACTGGACTCTTTCGTGCGCTTCTCGTTTTACAACGCACTGACACATTCAATGGCATTCACCTCAGCGTCGATTTTTCCGAGGATATTGAAACTTGACAGTCCCTCCATGTGTTGAAACGGTCATTCAGGTGACGTCATGTATTATTGTTGGTGGAGGCACAATGGCACTCGTCTGGTTAATTATAATGAGTGAATAAACATTGGTGAGGGGTGGGTGAGGTACCACAGTGGAGAAAAAAATCCTCGACTGATTGGAGCAAGGGGAGCTCCGTTATTTATTTATTTTTTTTCTTTTGCCTTTTCCTTTTCAATGGTTTTAAATAAATGCACGATATATCGGGAGCCGATGATAATGGGAGAGTCGAGCAGAAATAAGTCATTTGAATAAGCGAGACATTCCACCTACCGGTTTCGGTTGCGTACATGTGAGTAATTCATTAGCATTTCCAGACGTATTTTAATCCGACATATTCTTACATGACTCTAATGTGCAAAGGAGACTTATCGTTGGTTATCATTGAATACATGAAGACTGAGGTTGTTCATTAAAATGGAAATATTGGAGTGGATTATTCTATATTATAAACTTGTTAAAGCTGACTTTCCAGCAACTCCGACAAATTCACTACCGAAATAAACTCACCAGGGAGCCAGAGTTATCTCAATTAGGATGAGTGACATTGGATATTGTCCGTGGACCGACGCGCCTAAATTTACACTGGGGTTGCCCTTTGAAATTTTCGAAAAGCCAAAAAAACGTCAAGTGAATGAAAAAAAAAATCTCCCGGAGAGTTGAATATTGCGGGAATACTACTGCGCATTGAGAAGGAAAAAAATTATTGTGAAGAGGTACACTCGAGGTGGACTAAACGACTAGGATGCTGAACAACGTTTTAATGCGTTACCGAGGCGACGGATGTCTTGCATCATCACCTCAACCAGTTCCTGCATTAATGGTAAATAATAAACGGAGTAATTTTGTAACAAATGCATTGACGATGGATGACGACGTCGTAAAAACATCGATTTCATGTGACAAGTGATCCGTACAGTGTCAGATTGGTTTTAACATTAAATCTAAAGTGCAAAGATGTGAGGATAGTGCACATGTGTAGTGGTTATGGAGGACACGTGGCCTCTGTACCCTCATCAGTGCTACCAACATGTCCGGACTAGCGAATATTTTTGCAATCATTTCACCATTTATTTATCGAGCTTCAAATATGATCGTGATAATAACGAAATCAATGAGTCCTATAATTAATGACCGGGAGTTTATCGTCACGCGATTGCACAAATATTCAAACTACCTTGTCGGTTTCATTAGTGAACGTTGAAAATAGAGAATTTATTTATTGATGGATCCTGATGATCAGTTTAGCACCGGCTCTCAATGCTGCACAACCAACGGGAGCTGTAGTGTGGACAGACTGTCTTGGGTTATTTTTTCATTCGAATCAACATGTTGGAAAAATAGTATTAAAAATGTTGTGGATTCGATCTAAACTGTCGAGGTACACGAGCAACGACAACGCATTTGTTTTGAGCCCCAAACGAATCAGACATCTCAGGTACTGGTAGAGGAGTTTGTTATCGCGATGAACACGAGGTTGGAACACACGCAGAACCCCAACCAACACGTTTATTCGATCAAAACCAAACTCCACTAGAGTTGACTATTTGATTTTTACCACGTACAAAGCAAACCCATTCAACGCTCGTTCTCTGCCCCTCAATTCACCATTTTTTTTTCATTTTTCTTTGTATTTTTCCATGGTTTTTAATTTTTTTTTTTTAACGATTGTTTTTATTTCTACCTCCCTCCCCATTGTCACCCCCTCAACACTCATTTGTTTAATTAATTCCCGTCGGCCATCAACACACGTAACGCAATCGTTGTACGATCTGTCGTGTAATAATTTTCACTCGAGAAGTCCCCGCACTATCTCTAATTAAATACCCGAATTTATACCACTGTATCGTTAAATTTATTTGACACCGCATGTCCCTTGTGATGTTCTTTATTATCCGAAAGTGTCGTGACATTAATCGCGGTGCTTTATCAACGCGTATGACGAACACCAGAATCAATTCCTGATAGACCGATCATTCAAATATTCCACTCGCATCCCGCCGCGCGTTATTTAAAAAATATATCAACCTCCAATAAAATATCTCACCACTCGCATCCCGTTGCACAAATACCTAATCACACCAATTGCCATGATATCCTCACCTGCAAGTTTGGCGATCCCCTGTAAGAGAACTGTGACATGATGTGTCGGCCACTTAGGGCCGCGATCATCAAGATCTGCTACGCTCTCATTGTGTGCGTGACCACCTGCTATCACATTCACTGATAACTCACAAAAAAAAAAGTTGAAAAAAAAAAGAAAAAGAACTACTAAATCACGTCACTAGCTCGTCGTCGACGAGACTCCCTTCTATTTCCCGAACAGAAATTTAAAAAAAAACTAAATAGCAGCCTGAAAAGACTGTGCGTTCACATAAAATCCAATGAGGCAAATCACATGGGCAAATCCAAAATCATGAAAAATAACATGAATAATCACAATCACTGTCACAAGTGAGTACGGGTTGGAAAAAAAAAAATATATATATATATATACACCGAGGATTGCGTGGGTACCGGCGTGTGTTTTCCCTCGACGATGAAAACTACCAAACTGACTTCTCCGTGAAAAGAACTGTCGACAAGGGGTCTCTCTCGCTGTGTCCCTGTGCCTCTTCTCCCCCCCCCCCCCCCCCCCCCCCCCTCTTGTCGCACTCCGGGGAGAAAAAAAAAAAAAATCTTCTCACTCTAGTGGTAACAGTCACTTCACTCTAACAACCCGGCTGTCGTACTCCAGCGTGTTGTACAAGGGGCGGGCTCTGTTATTGCCACGACGCCTTGTATTATAACAGTGACAATTGTCGAATATCATTCGGTTGTCCGGGCGTTTTGTACAGCCACTGGTTTATCCGCGACTTGGGTAGTTACGATTAAACGGGGATAAAAAGAGTGTGTCGGAAGAATTCACGGTACTATGTGGCGGGCACTCTGTTGTGCGGCTGTTCTCCCCTGGTTGATCCGATCGACGCGCCAGCTATGATCGGTCGCGACTATCCACACACAACCGAATCGTCGTTTCTTTTCGACGAGGGGGGAATCCCACAGTTTGCTCTCTCTACCCCGTCGTCCGCACTGTAAGACAGAGATAGTGGGTATTTGTGAACGTAGGTGGGAGAATTCGAGCGGTGCGAGCGAGGCGGCGCACAGTTACGGTATTGTTAACGGGGTGGGGAAGAAATCGAGGGGGGGGATTTCTCTCGCGCAGTAAAAGGGGGGAAAAGAGATGAGGATGGAATGAGAGGATGGAGGAGTGCGATGGGTTTGGCGAGGTGGAGGAAGAGGGCGGGTGGAGATCTGGGAGGACTGTTGGGTATTGCGAATGAGAGGGAAAATTCGGGGTGGGAGACTACCAAGTGTCCGATCTACTGGAGGTGGAGTGATTTCAACCTGATGAGCGGACTCGATGAATCTTCGACGATTCGCTATGCTGATTACACCTGGGCTATCAATTTTTCAGTACTTCAATTTTTTATCGCTCTTTCACTCATTATTCCTGTACTTTGCGGTGATTTGCACTTCATTTTGAGGAATTATCCGGCACTTGGCAAATTGGAGTGCAGCGCGTAACGCGGGAATGTTCAAATGATTATCGGTAACTCGGGAAGTTTGTTAACGGGTGTATGATGGAGCCCTCACGGTTGATTGTAGTTTTCGAGTTGGATGGGAGATACGGGAGCCGACGAACCCGTTGACTCGCGTGGAGGGCGCCAAGTACAAACTGACTTGCGAGTTGTCTGGTATATAGTGTATAGTAAGAGCAGCCGTTGGAGTGCGGCGCGGTGTGTAACGCGGTGGCACTTCTTCTGTCTCACTTTTCTTTTACCCCGGTGTATATACTCGCCCACCGAAAAGGGGGTGGATAAAACAGGGGGGAGGCGCAGCGTTCTCTCTTTCGCGTTGCAACGGCCGTTTTTTTTTCCCCTTTAGAGTCGTTTCCCGGAGCGACGGACGACGATAGCACCACGGGGTCGGCGAAGACCGCGGAGGTGAGAGTGAGAGAGGTGGTGCGCAGGCAATCGGCGGAGGTGTCGCACCGTGTGGAGTCCGGTGGCTCCGGGTTTCGTATAGTCGTCGGGTTTTCAGAGGTCTACAAACACAAACATTCAACCTCCGGAGGGTAACCCTCCGAGGGACCAACACATGCGCCGTTTATTTCACAACTAAAGGAGTATGTCTCGTATATCCTTCGGTTACACGTATGTGTATAAAGGTATGTAAAGAGCGGACGAGAGAATGAAGGAGAATGGGTGGAGAGAGGTGGGCACAAACGAGTCTCTCTTGCCTCGTGCCACTCTCTTGTCTTGTCGCGCCCTCCTGCCACCGCTTCTCTTTCACCCTCCCGCACTCCTCCTGTACGATTCCAACAACTCCAAAGAGGTAAGGCACAAGTAAGGGACGTGGGCAAGACAGAAAGGGACAAACGTTGCAACCGAGTAAGTTGATATAACGTTAAGCTCGTGGAAACTCAGCAGCGATTGCTCGGTGTGTGGTATATAATCCCTTCCGATGAGTACTCTGTGTTAGTTTCCTTGCAAACGGCACAAACCAGCTTCAGTCGTCCAGTGGTGGTGGTAAAAGCCAGGACTGGCTGCTCCTGATGATGATTCTGATGTCGGTGGTGGTGGCAGTTGTCGCTATTCTTTTTGCTCGTCGGAAAAAAAGATAAAAAAAAACACTCGCGGGGGATATGGTGAGAGTGGGAGGGGAAAAAGAGGAAAAGAGGAAAAGAGGAAAAGAGGATGAGAGGAGAGTCGGATGAGGCGCTGATTTTTGTGAGATGGTTTTACCCCTGGGGCGGTGGGAGGGTCCAGAACTCGGCACGCCGCGCGCCTCCATACAGGGAGAAAAAAAAATGCCCCGCAGAGAGAGAGAGACTGAGTGAGAGGGTGAGGGAGAGAGGGGTGCCCCCCCTCGTCCCAACACAAGACTCGTTTATATGTAAAGGCGAGGAAGGAGGTTGGGGCGATTGGAGGAGAGGGAAGACACTTCTTTGTGTATACCCAGGTGCCACCTCTGGTGGTGTTGTGTCGTCGTTTCGTTATGCCCGTGTGTTTGAAAGGCCGGCAAGCCCTCGAGGTAGAATATCGTCCCGCGGAGGAACCTTACGCTTGGCGGTTAGCGTTGGCAAACGCGACAATAAAATATGGTGAGTCGGCTCGTGGGGCCACACAGCCAACCTCGCATTTTCTCTTTCTCTCTTCAATTCTCCCTCCCACTCCCCCCTATTACCACCCCGTTGTCGTATTCCACCTCTATCCACCGGTCGTCCATGTCCACATGGTTAAATTCTGTCCTACTCCCTCCCATTCACTCCACCTCATGTCCTCAGGTTTTCAGGTTCCCCTCCATCTCCCTCGGGCTTCACCTCTCTACACCGATAAAGCTGGCTTTCTTCCCTCTTCGTTTCGCTTTCGTTGCAAAAGTGGGGATAAACCCTGAGACTAAATTTGAGAGTGGGGATGTACGCTGCAGGAATACGGGGACACCAGTGAAGTTCACTGAGTGGGGAGGGAAAAACTACATGACAATTTTAGTTCGATAGATCCCAAAGTTTAGCATCAACGGCGCTGCTTACTTGCCGCTGACTTTCTTTACTCCCTCCTATCCACCACCCCGCGGTAGTTTGTTCAATGCACTCAGTTCTCTTCGCTCGTTCATTCTCACTCCGTTGTTTCTCCTCAACAAAATCCCCTTCTTCTTCGATCGTCCATCGACATATCCTTCCGCACACCTTGTACACTGCACTACACCACCGCACCCTGTGTGAAATTCCTCAGCGTGTATGTGCACTGCGGTTTTATGCCCAACCCCTCCCACCTACCCCTCCCTCTCCACCCCCAGCATTTATCCTTCTTTGAAACTTCATGCTCATGTACTTCGTGGTATTGAGTACATGAACACGATTTCTTGTAATCGCTTTGATACTGCTTCTCATTCATCTTGTTATCACTTACATGCTTTATAGTTATTGCGGGATCCGAGATACTGCTATCCTACATTGAAAATTTGTTGACCTGACGAGGCCATTTAATTTCAAATCCTCATCATTAATTCTCATTATTTAAAATCATATTAAGTATCAAAATATATTAAATCAGTCATATTTTTGAGAATTACGTTGAGTACTCGGTAGCCGAAAATAGCGACGAAGATACTATATTGCGTTCGTAGTACAACCTACCATGAGCAATGAAATATTTTGACTGACCCGAGCAAACCTCGAAGGCCCCGAAAAGCCAAGCGGAAAGTCCGAGAAACCGGAAGTTCCGTGGCATCCAAGTGAATCCAAAATAAATGGTATACCTTTTTCCCCCACTCCAACCAATCCCCCAGCATTCTTTATCCCTACTCCAATCTATAAGCGTCAGATGGGACGCGCAGAGTCGCGGTTTTTTCCCCTCTTGGGGGCGCGGACAAGCCACGACTCCGCCCTCTCCACCCATCCTCCACCGCCTTTCCGCGTCAGAAATACGCGTGGCAAACCCCAGTCTCACCAACTCTTGTCTCTGTATTTATCCCCACCATTTTCACCAACTATTTCCATTAAATGCGTTTGAAATAACCCCCACACACCTCACCCCCTCACCCTCTCCACCATCCCCTCCCCCTGCTGCCCCTCCCCCCCGCCCGCGTTAAACCGTCTCACGAGTTTTATTTCCCTCCCTCATGGCCATTTACAGTACTATATCCCAACACCCCAGTGTACAAACGTACGTTTACACCGAAATACTGAAACGACTTGTGCACAACGTTTCTTGCTAGAGGGACTAGCTCTTGCTTCTGTGGCTGCCAAACACACATCGGCGGCAAGTAACACCGAGGGAAGAGTGAGGGAGAGTGAGAGAGTAAAGTGGGAGGCACAAATCTAAGCAATTCTCACTCCATCTCACTCACTCACTGTATGTACACCGAAACCTCGAGGCACATGCTGAGATGTGAAACATTAGTGTACCGTTTGTTAACACCGCGGTGTACACAGTGCCTCCCCCCCCCCCTGGCCCCCTCTTCCTTCCCACCCCGTGGGTTTCTCCTATCACACACCCCCCCGACAATCTCTATAACACGCATCCCTCCCACCCGAATGGTTTTACTCCTTGGAGTGGCTTGCCACCCCTCACCCTCTCGATCCTGTCTAACACACTCAACGTGGAGTATATGGGCTTCAATTCGTGTTTATAACTGTAGCAGCTTGATCGCCACCCCAGGGTTTATACCTATGGCAAATATCCCAGTCACGACTCTCTACTTTAGTTCAATATGTAGTTTATGGGCTTGGGTTTATAGAAAGGTAACATTGTGGTGGATATATTTGCTGGAGTGATGGCTGAATGTCGTAGTTAATCTATTCAGTGGATTTGATAAATTCAAATCCACTCGGAGGACAAACTCCCACTGTATTTTTTGTGGATTAATATCTCGCTTTATGTCGGGTGACAGTGGTACTTTGTACATTTTGATAGTCCACGGTTGGAATACAGCCTCAGGTGGCAGCACAAGTCGACATTTGACTGGTTCTCTCTGTTCCGCAAGTGTTTCAATGTGAATACTGTAACCTGGGCCTAGGTGGAGCGAAAAAAGATTGAGGGAGGAGTGAGAAATCGTGGAAAAGCGAGTGGAGA